AAAAGGTGATTCCAGTTCCTGGTGATATTTCTTGTGAGAATTTAGGAATACAAGATATCACTTTAAGAAAAGAAATTTGGAGAAATACAAATATAATAGTAAACTGTGCTGCAACAACTAACTTTGATGAAAGGTATTATATATACACCTTCTTTTGTCTAAGAAGTTAACCTTCTGCCATTGTTTAAGTTTAATAAAGCTTTATTATTGTTTTGTAGATATGATGTTGCATTCGCTATCAATACAATGGGAGCTCTAAATGTCTTAAACTTTGCAAAGTTATGTCCAGCAGTAAAGATGCTTCTCCATGTTTCAACAGGTAATATTTGAGCCTTTTCTATTTTTTTTTGGGTGCGCTTAACTACCTCCTGATTTTTTTAGGATTTCTATTAAAAGTTATTAATATTTTAAATATATACCTTGTGTCTTTTCTAGCTTATGTGTGTGGTGAAGGAACTGGACACATCATGGAAGAACCATTTTGCATGGGTAAGAGTCTTAATGGGACGTATAAATTAGACATTGACAGTGAAAAGGAATTGGTGGATGAGAAAATGAAGGAACTCCTTGTTGATGGCAGAAGAGAAGGAATTGCATTTGCCATGAAGGAGTTGGGCATGGAAAGGTATGTATTTTCCTTTTTTTTTTTATTTTTTTTATTTTTTTGTCTTTTCAAGCAGTCACATGTATAAGTCATGAGTTTTTCCTAAACAGCTATGTTATATAAAGATGTTCTTTAACCTTACGATATAATTCAATTGACCTAAGAGTATGAATAGACTACGTGAACTTCCAAGAATTAATTAACAATATCTCTCTTATTAAGTTTTACTCTCTTTTTTTCCTAGAGCAAAATTTTATGGATGGCCAAACACATATGTATTTACAAAGGCAATGGGAGAGATGCTTATCGGCCAATTCAAAGATAACTTGCCAGTTGTTATCATACGCCCTACCATGGTTACGAGTACTTTTAAAAAACCATTTCCTGGTTGGATTGAAGGTTTCAAGTAAGTAATTACTCTCAATACTTTTTGAATTAAAAAAGATAATAAAATCTCTTTTCAAAATTGACCTATGTATCTTCATCTACATGTATATGTAACAGAACAATTGACAGCGTACTGGCTAGTTATGGCAAAGGAAAATTGAAATGTTTCCTTGCCAGTCCTGAGTTAGTCCTTGATGTGGTAAGTCAAACTGAACACTTGTTCTACTTTTCTTCCTGGCTTCCTTGTAAGAGAAAAACGCCTGAATTTGTTAAGTCATGCAGATACCAGCAGATATGGTGGCAAATGCAATGATTGTGTCCATGGTAGCACATCCATATCAACCCTGTGATCGGATAATTTATCATATTGGCTCCTCACTCAGAAATCCTTTGAAATTCTCCAGTCTTCGCGATTTCACCACTCGTTACTTCACCAAAAATCCATGGATTAATAAAAATGGGAAGCTTGTCAAGACTGGCAAGGTTACTATGCTGAGCAGCATGCCTACTTTTCTCTGTTACATGAGAATTCGATTTCTTCTGCCATTAAAGGTCTAAATTCTATATGCCATTCAACTTAAAGCATTCAATTTTCTTATATCATCGTTGAGGTTTAGCTTCGATTTCTTGTGTTTATTTTCATTTGAAGGGTCTATATTGGTTGGATGCAATTTTTTGTCAACATTTTAAGAGAGTTTATATGGATCTTGATCGGAAAGTCAAAGTGGCAATGCGATTGGCGGAACTGTACAAACCCTATTTATTGTTTAAGGGCATGTAAGTATACATTAAACTCTCTCTCCTAGCTTACTACATCCATTGACAGCAGTAGTAATAATTTTTGGTCCTTTCTTTACTTTTGTGTACAGATTCGATGACAAAAATTCAGAAAAATTGCGAGTGGCAGCAATGGAGATGGGTTTAAATGTGGATGAGTTTGGATTTGATCCCAAATGCATTGACTGGGAAGATTATTTCATCAACATTCACCTTCCTGGCCTTGTACGATATGTAATGAAACAATAAATTTTGCCGTTAAATATTTTATATGCTACTCTTTCTTAGTTGACAATTGGTATGATGTAATTGACTTTGAATGTAATGTCTTAACGAATAAGAAGAGTTGTATGCATAAAAAAAAAAAGTATTTAATGAACTAGTTTGGGTAGTTGGTTTTAAATTTTATATTTTCTATAACAGAATACTAATAAATGTTAACAGTCAGTTAACAAAATTAATAAAACGCTATAATCTAATATTAAATAAAAGTCATTTTTTTCGATTCGTATATGTAATGGGTTAAAAATGTTATAATAGAAAGTAAGAGGTTAAAACTTATAAATTTACTAAATTAAAAGGTTAAAAAAGTCATAGTATAAAAGTAAAGGTTAAAACCTACAAGCTTATTAACATAAAAGGTTAAAAGTAGGTTTTGCCCATTTATGATGTGTTTACAATTGGTCAATTTGGTACTACCATTATAAACTACCAACTGCATTCTTAGCTTTATATTTATATAAACCTATCATCACTCATGCTAATGTACCCAGAGTTCTTTATGCTTGCAAAATATTGCATTATTTTCTTTTCATGGATTTGTGTAGCGCTGTTCAGTTCCTTGAAAACAAGACCATTTCTAAGACATGTTTAATGTATAGAGGGGCTCTGTAACAGGCTGCATACTGTTATTAAGTCATTAAGTTTTAACATAGCTTAATATAATTGAGGGCTATTTTTGAAAAGAAAAAAAAAACTAAGATGTATTTAACTTAATTCTACAAGTTATACCGAAGATAAGGTGTTTTTTAATATATTAAATGATAAGTTATACAATAAGTGATAGATTTTTTTCCATCTCCTCACTTATCTTAGAAATAAAACTTAAAGTCTTTAATGTGGAATACCAAATATAAGTTATTTATGGAATTTAATTGAATTTCTGGATTTTCAAAAACTATAGAAATTCATTTATATTCATTTGCAAATGAATTCCATAGTGAATCCATTTATTTTCATGTCATAATTAATTGCAAAGACAAGAATTAGTTGATAAATACTAGTTGTAATCCCCACGCATAAAAAAAAAATAAAAATAGAAAAAATAACTCGCAGTATACAATGTAGTGATGTACAACATTAATAGCTACTGTGTTGTGTGGTTGTGAGGGCCGGATCCTCTTAGGCCCAATATAGGACTTGGGCCTACCATGCAAATGAAAAAATTAGAAAAAAAAAAGACCAGGCTCTAGGCCCTAAGCCCAGATGAACAGACTCTTCTTTTTCCCTTACCATAGAAC